TGCTTGTCTTGCTGGTTTGAACAATGACTATATTATTTATTTAGTAGATAAATGGGCAATTTATTTCATCAATGAAAAGAAAAATTTTTATCTTGACTCCTGAGTATAAAGTTAAAGCAATCTGTGTTAACATTTTTAATGGCATCAAAGAAATGTAGACATGAAACACCTGAATTTTGCTAAAGGCAAATAGAGTAGTTTTTGAAGGTTAGCAACTCATAGAACTGCTAAATTTCATCTTAAAATGGAATGACCTCTTTCCACTTCCTCCAAATGAAATAGTCACCATGTTGGAGAACTGAACCATACAAATTCCTCTAACATACAACCACGATTCTTACTACTTTCAGCAGGTAAGATGCTTCACCATTTCTCGTATGATTTTACAGCACTTCTCATGATTTTCTAAGAACAATGGGAGTTCAACTTCCGTCCTCTTTTCAGTCCCAATGAATGATCTAATTCTCCCTTGCTACATTCTCTTTGCTTGGACTCTGGATAGGTTAGTTTCCTATTCAGTCACAGGTATTCCACAATGCTTTTCCTTTTGTGGAATGATCCTGGTCTCTTACAACTTAAATGGGTTCCCAACCTCCAATTTATCCCTCAATCAATACTTTGTGGTCCTTCCAAACGGCGCTTTCAATATTGTCCATTCTTTAAATGGCTATTTTATTCTCTACCCGCCACACTTACCTATCTGTAGTTCACATCTTTCGTTTGCTGCTGCCCATCTAACAAATCTGCTCCCACACTTGCTTAGACTTCTAGCCTACTCTTCCAAAAGCCTTAAACAACGCCAAGAGTCAGATGTCCCTGCTAAGTGCTCCCACAGCATCCAAATGCTCACTCTTTAGTAATGGTAACTTAGGAGCACAAAATTGCTATCTCCTCTACTACACGGTGAGTTGTTAAAATGGAATTATCTTGGTCACCTTTGAATTCTGCAGCTGGTGCAGTTTCTGACATCCTAAAGTCAAACTGGAAGGTGCACTGTGATGGAAAACAGCTAAAATCATTTCTTCAAACTCTTCTTACAAATATTTACCTATGAAAAATGCACATGATTGGAATGATAAATGGCCAGATAAAAATCCTTAATTTAACTATCAGATGAATAACTATGATTTATATTGCTCTGGCTAGCCTCCGCACGATGAAGGACAGGGATATATTGGTCTCTTTAAGACTCTCTCCACCTCCATTTTACTCTTCTACTCATGTAGGAGTCATCTAATGAGTTAGGTGCTTTGACTCTCAGGTCCTGGGTGGTACTGACACCAAATATCTCAACATTGCTCCCAATACTAAAAACAATCATTAATATTACAAACATTTCTTCAAAATTTCAATCCAGATAGATGTACATGAAAGGCAACAACGTAGTAGGAGCTTCTTGAAAAACCTCTTTAAGTGATCTCGTTTGGTAAAAGGTATAATGAACAATTTGCCCCACCTGGCTGAAAAGGAGCAGAGACCAAACAACAGAATTAACTGTGAATTCCCAGGTCTCTCAAACTTGCTGCACCTTTGTTCTCATCGTAGAACTCCAGCCACCCTGGGTCCACAGCCCCAAGTGACAGACACAGTGAATCTGACCAACTTAAAATGTGTCTTGGGACAGCTAGCTTCTCTAACGGCTCTGATATTGCTCAACATTTCCACTATGCCATTTGCATATGTCCTTAAAACTGGCCTAACATGTCATTTCAGAATATAAATCATTTTACTTCAACAATATACTATCTGATGAATAAATACAAAATGCATAGCCTGATTAGATCAAGTTACACTCAATTCATTGCCATCTTAGGCTGTTTGAAAGATGAGAAGTGCACTAAAAGTTTGTCAATAAATATATTCCAGAGAAGAGTGGAAGTTTTTTTGGGGGGGAATCCCCCAAATGTTGTGAGCAACCATCACGTGATTATAGTATAGTCTCACTTCAAAAGGAACAGCACATCTGAGATACCTAAACTTTTTATGTTTGTAACATTTTACTATACCTCACGGACCTACTTACACGTTGGTCACACGGTTATCATTGCCTAAAAACTGACAAAGAGAAAACCTAAAATACTGCTCTGCTATCAGTCTGGCTCAGAAAGAGTCAACTATCTCACAAACTACTGGCAAATTTTTAGGAGGTAAGGTGAAAATATCTAGGCCACCCCCTCCCATGGTTCACTCTAGTCAAGATACAAGAACGTTAATCTCAATATTTCAGCAAACGTTAAGAGAAAACTAGCTCAGTGGCTTGGATTCTAAAATCCTTTTGTTTGGTATTTTTATTATAATGGAATTAAATTTATAATTATTAAAGTATAATCTGCTCAAAACATTGCAAGGACTAGTAGAAATAGGAAAAATCTCTTAGTATTTGTTGATAGAAAATAATAGTAAAAGCAATCCTCCAAAATTCCACTTGCAGGCCATAGGAGCATGAGCACAACCATATGGGAGGAGATAACCAGTCTCTCCCTTCATATATATTCTTTTTTATTTTCTTGTTATACCTTCCCAAAACAGAGACATTCAACAGTAGTTAGAATGACCATCTCCCAACATTTAAAAAACTGCACCCCCCAATGGGTGAACAAAGTAAAGAGCAGTAACCTAGAGTTCAGCTGAGTAAGCCACTGCGGAGCCTTAAGTGGTGAGGTCTTCCAATTTCAGAGTGATGTGTCTTCAACTTGTATCATCATTTTAGTGGAAAAACATAATTTAATTTTGGTGAAATGAGATTCATCTCCCGACAGGATTAGTAACAGCATTCACTGAATTTCACATTCTTCTTTTGTGAACTGTGAAGAAAATGAATGGTAGCTAGAAGATCAATGGTATTCCAGCTCCAGCTGCAGATGGAATGACAATATACCAGGACAAAAACACCTATACTCTGATTTACAAAGCTAACAGCAGTTTTAAATCTGCAACTTAATTACAGACCAACTACACCACAACCTTTTCAAATGGCAAAAATACAAAAAAGTGTTACAAAAATATTTCAGAAAAAGTGCATAGTCTAAGTGCATAGTAAATAAAAGCACTGAAAAATATCTTGCTAGAGGGAGTTCAGCTTGGAAAAGTTATTACCAAAGCTAAACATTTTTATTTTACACAAACTATACTCAAAAATAGCTTTATGAGACTGATTTCTGGCTAAAAGTATCAAAGGGTTTATTAGTCAAGAAACAAATACCTTAACCAACACGGGTGGATAGAAAGGAAACAAAGAAGCTGCCTACCCCAAAGTTCATACTCATTAAGATTTCTGCAGTATGATGGTGCTAATATATCTTTTAATGGCAGAATGTGGTCATCATTGAATTAATTATTGCTAACGTAGTTTTCAAATGAAAAGAAAAAAAAAAAAGAAAACAAACCTGACACAATCTGACCAAACACATGTCAATTCACAATTTCAAGGTTATTTTACAAAATACCTGCATTTACACAAATAGGCGCCTGGCAGCATTTTTAGACAAAAGTTCTTTTAACTTATCCTGATGTGCTATAAATGAATAAATTACACTAATGAATTAGTTATTAAGCTTTTCTTTCTCTTGGGTCAGAAAAAGAAAAGAGCCACACGTAAGACTGAGAGATGAACTGCAGATAATTTATAGAAATGGGTGGGGGATAGGGAGGGTCAGCAATCACAAGAACCTCACAGGGTATGATGCTCTCCAAGGTTAGGAGTCAATCAGCTTAGAGCCAATCAACAAGGAATTTAAACAATAGTTTCATTTTGTAGTTAAACCCTTTAACGCTTTCATTCTTATTCAAAATCAGTCCAGCTGTTAGTCTGAGGCTGCAAAAGTTACAATACCAAGTCCTGGCAGTTGCAGCTGCAGCACTAGGTATTGTGCCTACAAGTCATAAAAAAAAAAAAGAAAAATGAAAAAATGCCTTTCCGCTTCAGGGAAAAAAAATATTTTTAAATAAAAAATCTGAGAAAAAGTCATGACACTAAATCTAAAATGATTCGCAAAGGAATATTACATAACAAATGACTTGAAGTAGTCTATTAAAAAATTGGGGAGATTTTGATTTCATAGTGAGTCAGCAAGGCATTTTTTTTGTTTAAAAAAAATCTCATTTCCTTAGAGAAACAGTTTATACTTTTTAATGAACTTGTAAACAAAAAAGCTCCCGTTTCAAAATAAAACAAAATCCCAGATCATATAGATGTTTACAGTGATTACATTTATCTAAGCAACATACATACATGTTCAGTTTAAGATGTTAACTAAATTTTTGTGACAAATATGCTTTTTTCTTGTTTTTTTAATACCAAGAACATTATAGAGTTAATGCAGAGTCCTAAGGGTAATCTAGTAGTCACTAAGTTTTTCTTAAGTCTTCACTTTAGATGCTGTTATTTCTAGCACAGGTAAGCAGGCAGAGTCTTTCATATGCTCAAACACTGGAATCTTTGGTTGCTACCATTATCAGCTGGCTTGCAAACAAGAAGCCAACCACTTTAAGAATGTTTTAAGTGAACAACTTGCAAACCCCAGGGATGGATAAACCCTAAGAATGCACAATTGTGAGCATTTACAACCATCACAACTGTGGCTGAAGACTGTTCATGCCGTTCTTCTGAAATGAGATCTCAAAGCAGTATAGTTCAAAATAAAAGATCTTAACAAAAAATTGGCATATGCACAATTTCTCCACCAATTTGTGTGTCAACCATTTAGTTAACTTTTCCACTTGAAAAAATGCAATAGAAAACTGGACACCATGTTTCACTATCTCAGTTAATATTCACAATTACAGCGGCTACAACTCAGGACACAGCAACACCAGTGCTGCCCAGAGCCAGTTTATACTGAAATTAAGTTCTTTACACCAAGTAAATGGTTGTCCACAACCACTGGCTAGTGTACATAATGAACTAAAATTTCTAGATTTGGGGAGAAACAAATGCTGCTCCGATCATCTGCTCTGCTTCTTCTGTTCCTTGATTCATGCTTAGAAACCTATTAAAAAAAAATCAAAACAGAAAAAAAGAATGTTAAACTCCAAGTTAAAAAAATTTTCTTAACCACACCCAAAGTAGGGAAATAATTACTTTAGAATGGTAACTCATACGTTATTTTCATCTATTTGAAAATCACTAGGTCAGGTTAGCGTTTAAAATAAAAAATCCCGGAAACTTCTGTACTGGATGCCTCTAGGCAGGAGTGATATACAGTGAATTAAAGCCTTCCCGTCCAGCATACAGTTCTCGAGAATTAGTGGTAATTCCAATAAGCCTGTTTTTGTTTACTTCTGTATTTCTAGTACCTAGAATACATTGTGTTTATTAGTCAAATAAATAAAAAATAGGATTGCTTTATCAACTAGAAAGTAGTTTTAATCATACTGCGAGCAGGAACTTTTCTGTACATTATTTGATACAAACGAGGAACAAAAGGCTTTAATAATAAATGTATTCAAGGCATAATTATCTGAGTTATTCCACTGAACACAAACCTGGTAAGTATATGATTTTTATACAGAAACCTTAGACCTTTAAAAATTCTTTACGTCTATCAGTTACACTAAAGAGACTAATTTTTTTACCACAGATTTGAAAATGTAAACGAGTGAGGCTTTCTGGCGTTACTTTCAAGCCTCCCCACCCTGTAAATACACTTCTCCTCCCCCACAAATTAGACCTCAGGGCTTCCACATAAAGGCAGGTTTGAATAGGAGGCTCAGGCAATAATAGCTGCATGTTCTATCTACAGCTGAAGGCAATCAGAGGAAATACACCCATTTCTAATACCTACAAGCTTTATCTATAGCTAAAGGGAATATGTTGTCTCAACATCATGAAAATCTCATCAGCACCTTCTCTCACCTACAGGCCTCCTTTAAGTCATCAATGACCCTGGTCCAATCCCTCCTCTGATAGCCAACCTATATAGCTCACTCTTGCTCACTCTAATCACTCACTCCTCAGCACAGACCATGTTTTTGTCAATCATAAGCTGCTCCTTTTTTGATACTTCAACATTTGCAGGATCATCTCCAGCAGGCTTTGTGGGATAAATGAAATAGTTCTGTAATTTACTTTTCATGCATGTATGCCTCGGTTTTTTCATTTGAGGGCAGAAAGTCATCTTCATTCATTTGAAAACTATATTGTGACAAGCTCCGAAGACAAAGATGTGAGTGTTATACTTCCGTCTCTCCACAGTGCCTTAACAACAGAGTAGGTGCAAAACAGGCTTTTGCTGCCTGTCCTAGCACTAAGTTCATAGAGCAAATGCCAAAAGTGAAAGATAATGAAATTTTCTGAAAACGTACTTTGCCACAGGAATACTATGTTTCTGATGCATGTTATTAAATAGGATTAGCAGTGTAAAACCACAAAAAGAAAAGGCTGTCAAATCAAACCTGAATTAAATTTTAAAAAATCTGACCATATACTGTAACTTAGTTCCAATGTTAAAATACAGGAATATTTTAAAGCAAATTTTAGCTAAATAGCAATGACCCTTATCCTGAGGAGCATTTGGTTTCAAGTCCTGCAATTATCATTAAATACAATAAAAATGTTTTCACAACCACTAAAATTGTTGGGTTTTCTTTTACTGTAGCTTTTTACACAATTACACGATACTGAATAATTACTGGTATCCCCCTACTTTTCAAAAAGTTCGCTTTATGCCACTTCACATTTTATGAAAGGCCTACATTAGTACCTGTTTTCACTAACCAAAGATTTTTTGCTTTTACGAAAAAAGCAAAAATAGCATTCAGCGTTTCACAGCAAACCTAGAGGCAGCATGCACCCTGAGTAGTGATAATGGCACTCCTGAGGAGTGATAAAGGCACTGCCAAGTTCTTTCCCTGGGAACTACCATCAGCCTCAAGCCGCCACAGCTTTGAACTGTGTCTGTTGGCATCTATGCATTATCTCAATTTATCAGCAACATGTATCCTAAGGTAAACTGCTTCTTTGCTTTATGCCATTTTAGCTTAGGAGAGGTTTCCAGTGCCCTACTTTCAGACAGGGGAAACCTGTACTATGTTGAATATCCAAACAGCATTAAAATGAAAACCACTGTCACTAACAAACTACAAAGAAAACATAAGTTACATTGTCAGTCAAAGTATTAGAAAACTCTTGTGTCTTTAATAGGGATAAGAATTGTATCTGTTCATCTTTTAATCTGATATTTGAAGAACTGCTGGGTCAATTAATGATTACAATTGTTTAGGGGTTGGTTAAAGGCTAGCCTAACAATATTCCTGGTAGAATAGAGCAGTCAAATCCAGATTCAGACTGGCCAATGGTAGGATATTCCACCCAGGGATCAATGTTTTTCCGGTGAATTGTCCTAAAATGTTACAGATGCTTGTTTAGGAAAAATCTCAATAGGAGCATTCAGCAGGTATTCAAGATTCAATCTTCAAGTACTAAGTATTCTTTTCCTCAGTGTGCAATTAGTCCTTGGTTTGTCTTGTAGTTTAGGTGGTGTCTCCTGGTTTCTAAAGTCCAAAAACCCATCTTCACTGCAACAGTTAAAATAAGGAATGAAGGAATGAATCCCTTTGTTCCTAAAAAAGAGGGGGGGGAGGAGTTAAAACAGGGTTGGAGAATTAATGTGACAAATTCAGGACTTAATAGATACATTTAAGTTTTCTTTACAAATCTGCAAAAGGAGAAAGAATGTTTATTTTTATACAACTAACCAGGAGATTCTATCCCTCAGTCTGAAATCTGGAAAGTATGTATCCGCTCCTATCTGTAAATTAACTTCAGATTAACTTGATTCTGTTTTTCAACAGAACCACAAACTAGTTCAAAGATATATTTATGTAATAGTAAGGCTAGGAAGTTTGCGATGAGCTTTTAAAATTTAGAATCCTTTCACAGTATAAGACATAACTTTTAAAAATTAATTTTGACTATAATATTTACATTCACTATGCAAAGCCATTTATATTAACTAACTTTTCCTATAATATGCTTGTGTGGTTTTTCTGGTTGTATAGAATCAGAATCAAGCTTGGAGAATTCTGAATCAGACTGACAGTATAAAAGTTGAAGGAAAAAACAAAAACTAAAATAACTCTTCCTTTTCCACAGAAGCTAAAAAAGTATTTAGTTGGGAAAGATAAAGGAAATAGATTTTATTTTTATCACTACAAATAAGATAAATGACAACTTAAGTATAGCAGGTACATCATCCCTAAGCTGCATTAAAAAAAGACTGATGACCTGACTTCTTTTGTCTTCTCTTTTACAGAATTAATTCTGCTACAGATTTCTAAGGATGCTGAATTTTAAAATACCTGTTACAACTGATTCCTTCCCCAACTGGTAGATGGTCTGCATTATACACCACTGAGTCACAGCAGCACTGTACTCTTCTAGGTCTTCTGACAGTTGTTTTCAATCTGACAAGTTGAAAAGTTTGATAGGTCCAGCAAGCCTTCGAGATGTGGGCTTCAGATTACTTCAAATCAACTCTTAAGCACTCATCTTTATTTCCTGTTGGGTTATTTGGTTCTTTTCTCTCCAGCTTTATTGTCCACAGTGAAAAAAAGCTGACAAAAATTTCAGCAAACAGATGCAGCTCCCCGGCACCTCTTTGGATTGAGAGTATTCGGAGCAGAGCAGTCTCTCCAGATATTTCAAGGTCTTCCCCTGTGATATGGTTTACGTTGCTGAATGACCAGCCACGTTCCTAGCAGCAATTGGTGAAGTCAGAAAAAGTTAAGCTAGACATAAATGGTAAGTGAAGCCCAGTAAATACTGGAAGGTAAATCAAGGAAGACCATGAACATGTAGGATGTGATGGAAAAAATATTTCTAATCTATTAAATGCCAACAATTTGACATCCATGTATATTATGATAAAACTATGCTTAGTAGCAATGACTGGAATAGTGAACAGATGGGTTAAGGTGATGAGAATAGTAGAATTAGGAGAGGATCCACCTTTGGCTTCACTACCTTCTGCAATTCTCCCCATCTCTGCCCTCAACTAAAGAAATGGTGAACTTAAGTGAATTCTGAATGTCCTAAAAATATTTTTTTCCTTTACTTCTTATATGTCTTGAAAAGTACTTTCCTTATAATCAAATATAGTTGAAGAAAAGGGAGTGAAAATGAATTTAGAAGTGTATCAGATGTATTATCTTTTGCTTTCCTCTTTAACGTGTATAAAAACAGTAACTGTAGTCTTGTGGTACCTGAGCACTTAAAACCAGTACAGATCATAGTGAGCATTAGTGGAGGCGCCTTGTAGTCTTTTGATGGCCTTCAAAATGGAATATTTCAAAAGATCTTTTCTTTAGAAGAGTAAATACAAGTCTATTACATATAAGTCCATCTTAGCTGAATAAGTCAGACTTTAAATTCTTTGCACATTCTTATTAGTAAACTGCTAAAACAACTTATAGCTTTCAATGGAAGAAGCATCAGATAAAGATTTTTCCAAAATTATCATAGAAAACATATTAGTAAAAGCGACCATTTGGGGGATTTTTTCCCCAGGAATGTATGTGTCTGCAATATAGAGATTTACTTGCTGAAGATCCATTTAAGATACTGAATCCTCTGATGTGGAAACCCCTGAAAGGGTAACTCGTGAATAACAAATGATATATTTAAAAAGCACATCTAAAATTTTAACTAGAAAAATGTAATACGATTTTTTTTCATCACCACGGAAAAGATTTCTTGAAATCAATGAATCATTGAGCTCTTCCTTGAATAAAAGCTTACTGCAGGGAATCCTAAGAGAATATGCTTTCAAACACCCTTATTAGAGACTGGAATCAGGAGTAAGTAAAGCTAGAGCAGTTATTTTCAAACTCCAGGCTTCACAGGAGATTTCTTACTGGATGACCCATATAATGGGGTTGGGGTAGAGGTTAGTTAGGGGAAATAGACTCCCCATACTTATTTCACACCACCCTCAACTGTGTTATGCTTTCATGGCTTTATATATGGGGGGGGGTTGTGTAAGAGTTGTTTAGGGCACTAAGTTTTATATCCAAAATAAAATGAGTCAAAGATTAAAAAGAATTTTGTTCTTTGTATTCTGTGGAGTGGCATGTTTTAATTACAAGCAATATTTTGCTTAAGAGTCAAAACATACTGCCTGGAAATACATTTCTGAAAGCAGTCAGTGATATGTGGTGGGTTTTATGAAAAGTCCAAATTTTCAAGATTTTACAAATTCATGTCTGTGTGATATTTGTATAACCCCAGTGTCTAATAATGCTACGAAATTTTTATAAGATTTTAAATTGCTTTTATGAAAAATACAATACAAAATAAGGATTAAACTTAAGTTTAATTACAGTTTTTTCCAATGAAACATACTAACTCAGTGGATCCAACTTCTCATCTTTAAGACCTAGATAAGGCAGGACAAAAATTCTGCTTGTTTATTGAGTAAGAGACACACAGTAAACTAACAAGGAAATTAGCTCAAAATAAGGTAATTCTTTCTGAAGGCTGCTGAATGCCTGAAGTCCAATGTTCTAGGTCAGAGGAGATTTCAACCTAATTTTCGTTCTAGAAACTGCAACTTGTGATGATCCTATTATCCCAGCTAACTTTAGTCAAAAACTGGTTTCATTTTGTGAGAAAAAGCAAATACACTGTAGGTGTCAGGTCCTCAGTTTAGAGTCTATGTGGTCTTACCTAAATGGCAGGACCACTTCTCAGCAATACTAGCCACCTACCTCATTAAGAACCTGTTGACAATATGATTAGTTATATAATGATTAAAACATTCAAAAGGGACAATTAAATTCCAACTATGATGCAGAGGTAGAGCACTGGGCAAGCATTAGTGTTTGTTATCTTGAGTTCAAACTTCCTCATCTAAGAACTCCCACTACATTAAACCTCCAACTGTGGATCCTTCCCAGAAACGTGGAAACGAAGTACCTCAACTTCATTCCTAATAGATGAGCTGCTGGGAGGAGGATGACATCAGTTAACTATACTACTTGAAAAGTATCCTCAGATTAGAGCCTATTTTTAAATTATAAAATTTTTAAATTGCAACAGTAAAAATATGGACCAAAGAAGACCAAGTTCAGATCAGAGCAGTGATTCAGAAATTATGCAATTAGAAACCAAAAAACAAACCTTACCTGCCCACCACTTCCAGGAAGTAGGCAGGTATCAGAAGGTAAGCCCCAGAAAGGGGAAAAGAAAAACAGACAAAAAACATAAAACACAGGAGTTGAACTGTATGGCAACAGTGATAAGAAATGGCACTGTGCCCTAACAGTTCTACTCCTTAGTAGCACTAAGAGTGCCAGAGAGATATAGAAAGGAAATAGATTAGCAGCTCAGTGGCATTTGCCCGTTTGTTTTTTTTTTCAATTTGAGAGGAATAACTGCAGAATTCAATTCTACAGTAGACCCCTAGACCCTGAATATTTGTACAATTTAAAAAAAGTAAAAAAAAAAAAAAAAAGTAACGCCCTAAGAAAAAATCATTTTGAAATTAAGAACACATGTAAGCTAAGCAGCAACTAAAAGAGAGATTTATTTTTGTGGTAAGTAAGGATATATCGAGCTCTTCAGTTATTTGAGCATTTAAGAGAGTAAATGAGGGCTTCCCTGGCGGTGCAGTGGTTGGGAGTCTGCCTGCTAATGCAGGGGACACGGGTTTGAGCCCTGGTCTGGGAGGATCCCACATGCCGCGGAGCGACTGAGCCACAACTACTGAGCCTGCGCTCCACAACAAGCGAGGCCGTGACAGTGAGGGGCCCGCGCACCGCGATAAAGACTGGCCCCCGTTTGCCACAATTAGAGAAAGCCCTTGCACAGAAACGAAGGCCCAACACAGCAAAAAAAAAAAAAAATTAAAAAAAAAGAGTAAATGACGTGCTCTGCAACTGAGAAGATAGACACTTCGGGGGCAATGCCAGACTCACCTCTTGAACTTAGATCATGTTCACAATTTTCCATTTTTAATTCTAAAGCATTAACATGCAGAAAAATTCTTAACACTGTTAGTTGGAAAGAAAGTCAAAATACCATGGCTAACCAGATTCATTATTAAAAATCAACAAGTGTTAGGTCTAGGATTTTGGATTGATTGATTATACCATATTCCCAACACCAAATGTTTATTTTGGAAAGGGTTAATGAATGAGTAAAAAAGATGCAGTTGTTAAAAATGACCCAAAATCCCAAGAGAAATGATAATAATATACACACATATATGTATATAAAAATACATATACATATATATGAATAAGGACATTTGGGTTTAAAGTTAGTAGTCAAATTTTCCAAGGACGTCTTTTTTTTAAAACAAAGAGCCAGATTTTTATGTATTTTAAAACCACCTCCTCGATCTAACACTGTTAGAAATGGATGAATTACCCAATTTTGTGTTCAATTTTTTTCCCCTGTAACGTCACTTGGTTCTTGGCTACTAACCTTTCATGTTACTCTTGGTTTTGTCAGTTTGCTTGCCTGTGGGGGTTTGGGCCTGCTGACCCTGCCCACTTGAAGAGGCTGCCTGCTGTGCTGCTTTCTGTTTTAACATTGTCCAATCAAATGTGTAGTCATATTGGTGATTCAGGGTCCTGGAAAATATAAAATTATATGTTAACCCATTATTAATAGGGTCCAATTAAATACTCCACAGAACTTTCAAGACAGTGAGAGCATTTTTAAAGGAAATGAATATCTTCTCTTAAGTGTGGTAGCTTCTACAAGATTTCTTTCCCTATAGATGACTTACTGTTCAGTTAATTCCACTTTTTACATGTCTCAACTGGGGGGAAATGATGTCACCGCTTTGGTCTGCTGTATTCAAGAATAAATCCTCTCCCTTTTCAAAAAGAAGCTGCCTTTAAACTTTCTTGAAATGAGCAAGTGAGTGGGAATGAAAGGCAGCCATGAGGGAATTCTCTGGCAGTCCAGTGGTTAGGACTCTGTGCTTTCACAGCCGAGGGCGTGGGTTCAACCCCTGGTCCGGGAACTAAGATCCCACAAGCGGCACTGTGCAGCCAACAAAAAGGCAGCATGAACAACAAAAACACTGAGTCAAGCTGTCAGTTATGGGGGAATATTCTTAACAGAAGGTATCCCCTAAAGACACATCAGAGTAGACGTGAGACTGTAACTTTGAGAGGGCGATGTATATGCTGGTGACTTGGGAAGACTTCTCTAGGATTAGAGCATTATCCCTAATTCTTCTCTTCCAACTAAGATTTTGAGCCACATGTACTTTATTTTTTCAAGACCAATTTTGGGTTGTATACCTAGGGATCCTAGAATTTGGGCCTACTTCCACAATATCATAAACTCCAATTATTGCCTGATATTTTAATTGCTATTCATTTTGGTATTGAGCAGGGTTGTCTACCAAGTTGGAGAGTCCCAATTGCCACCAACAGTCACTTGTATCTAATGTGAATTGTGTAACTATTGTGGAAAACTTATATTCTACTTTGAGTTTGATTTAACAGTTTCTCCATCCCAAACGAAAATATTTCAAGGACATTTGGAAATGGAAAAATGTCAAACTCACAGTTTCTTAACATTTCATTCCATCACACTGGTTAGACCCACTTTTACTTGCTACTTGTCAGAGTAGATATGTTGGGCAGACTGAACTAATTTCCCTCACTGGAGTTTATAGTCTTAAAAACTGACCTGAAAAGAATGCGGAATAGCTGCCTCAGGTACATGTAATCCGGGGCTTCCTCAAAGCGCAGCCCACGGCAATAGTTTAAGTACATGGCAAATTCTGCAGGAAATCCCTACGAGTTCAAGAGTTAAAACACAAAATTAAGACAACAACAACAAAAAACTTATTTAAGACAGAAAAATCAATGTATTTAAAAACAAGCAAGAAATGTATTTAAGGATATTTTACTACTTTGCTAGAAGATCTGAGAACCTAAATAACAACAATATGACTTGGTATCCTCATAAATTTGACAAAATTTCTTCGTCCCAACCACCTTATTACATACTATATCTTTTAATATTGGTAGAGGAAATATATATCTTTTCCTTGCAGTAACAGGTTCTTAAATAATTTAGATATCCCACTTGTTAACCTATTATTTTATCAATGTACAATAACTGCATGGCAATAAAGAATAAACAACAAAAATGAGGCCAGTAATGTTCTTTGCCAGAACAGGACAGTGAATGGGTATTCTCTCTCCATTCTGAAATTACTTTCTTTTTAAACAGCAGTACAGACCTATATAAAGAGAAGTAAAATCAAGAGTGCAATTATACAAAGCAACCATTGTTATGATATAGATCAATCCAATACCACACCCTATGAATATACTGGGTTTGTCTTTTCTTTTTTCCATAATCCAATGCTTCCTCCTATGAACAGATTGGGTTTGTCTTTTTTTAACATAACTGTTATCATACTGCATACATAATATATTCCCTTTTCCATTAAAAGATTGCAAGCATCCTTCTATGTCATTTCTAACCTCCGCATCAACTTTTTAGAAGTTCATGGCCGGATATTGTTTGACCTAATGAATACATCATAATTAACATGTTCCCTATAACTGGACATTTAGAGGATTCCATTTTTCTCTATTATAGACAATATTAATAAGTACATCTGTGGTGTAAACTGTTTCCACGTTTGGTTTCTTGGCAAAGATTCTCAAAGATGTATACAGGTGTTTTTTAAGGCTGTTGATATTAGTCACCAAAAGGATTTTGCCATTAGGAACCTAGAAATGCAAAGTATTTAAACAAAAAAAATCCCCACATCTCCTCCCTTTGAGTAAATGTGAACGTGAAGGAAGATGAGTTAAAAGAGGCAGTCTCTTCCCAAAATCTTATGATTTTGAGAAATTTCTCACATCCACAGGTAGGATAGAATGTATACATCCACAACATTTATTTTTTATTGATTACAGTGATGGAAACCAATTTAATTTTTACAAAGTACTTTCTTAAAAATTTATTTTATCTATTTTATTTTTAGCTGCGTTGGGCCTTTGTTGCTGTGTGCAGGCTTTTCTCTGGTTCCGGTGAGTGGGGGCTACTCTTTGTTGTGATGCGCGGGCTTCTCATTGCAGTGGCTTCTCGTTGAAGAGCACGGGCTCTAGGCGCGTGGGCTTCAGTAGTTGTGGCACGGGGGCTCAGTAGTTGTGGCTTGCGGGCTCTAGAGCGCAGGCTCAGTAGCTCGGTAGTTGTGGCGCACGGGCTTAGTTACTCCACGGCATGTTGGACCTTCCCAGACCAGGGCTCAAACCCGTGTCCCCTGCATCAGCAGGCGGACTCTCAACCACTGCGCCACCAGGGAAGTCCTCAACTTTTAATATACATTCACAGTCTGTATTAATAGTATTCTGCATTTATCAAATGAACTTCCTTCTACAAAAGAAAACTACCAACATGATAAGTATTTCATATGTAAAGTGTGAACTGTCGCTAGACCATGCCGCTGGACCATAAGACTGAAAACAATCTCACTACTTTATAGTAATACCTAATACTTCGGTGTTCACTGCACCCTGAATCAATTATATGTGTCTAATCCAGAAAGACAAATGTAGTTCACAATTTCCAGATCAAAATTAAGATGTTGCACACAAGCAGAGAATGTACTAAATCCTCCCGTTCTCTTCCTGAATATTTTATTCATTAACCTAAAATGTATTTCATAATTTAAAACAAATCCCCAAAGAGTCTCAGAAAAGATCATAAATTTCTCAACCCATCCCCTCTGTTTCTGTAGATATGCAGAAAAAGAGAAAGCAAATTTGTGGATGGGGAGACTCATAAAGACATCACCATTTACTCCCTTCCAGAGTACTATTTCAACTCATGCTGATTTCTCCCTTCTACCACCCAAATATGTAATTATATATTGTTTTCTAATTATTTCAGGTATGCAATTGTCACAAAGATGACCACGTGGTCTTCTTTCTACGGAAGAGACATCATGACAAAAGTATCTTTCCACTCTCAACTCACGTGCCTCTCTTCAAAGTTTGAGATTTCAGAGAAATGAGCCAGATTCAAACTGCCATCTATACTGTTGGACACTTTCTATTTCTGGATTGTTCTATTCTGCTTGCTTTTGTTTCCCTAATTCCTTGATATGCCAATTGTGGATATCCTTTCTTCTCTGGCACCAGTTTAAGAATAAGGGGAATATTTCTTAACTTAATTTTCTCATAAATTGGTTTTGAGGTTTGGAATTGAGGTTCTATTAGAAAAGTTTACCTCCTTCTTATTTTTCCTCCAATTTAAAACAGATCATAGGGCCTAAACCAGAAACATAAAACAATTATTTTAAAATGACTCATATATTCAGGTCATTCCTTTTTAAATTTTTTTGGCTGTGCTGGGTCTTCGTTGCTGCGCGCCGGCTTTTCTCTCGTTGTGGTGAGCGGGGGCCACTCTTCCTTGTGTTGCGTGGGATTCTCGAGGTGGCTTCTCTTGTTGGGGTGCACGGGCTTCAGCAGTTGCAGCGTGTGGGCTCAGTACTTGTGGCACGTGGACTTCAGTAGTTGCGGCACGCAGGCCCTAGAGCATATGGGCTTCAGCAGTTGCGGTGTGTGGGCTCAGTAGTTGTGGCGTGCAGGCTTAGTTGCTCCGCAGCATGTGGGATCTTCCCAGACAAGGGATCGAACCTGTGTCCCCTGCACTGGCAGGCGGATTCTTAACCACTGTGCCACCAGGAAGTCCTCAAGTCATTCATAAAGATACCAAGAATCAACCAAAGTAAATTTAAAACAGTAAATAGCTACTCAATAGGATGCTTAAGTTCTAAGGCTGTAAAATAAAATGTTCCTTTTTGTTCCTGGATCATTTATATTAAAAAAAAAAATCATCATGTACACTTACCTTACATAGAACTTCAACAGGTGTGGACATCTTCTTTTCGCTAATTTTTTCATACTTTTGCTTCTTTGTTGCAGCCTGTGGAGAATAAGAAACCACACAGATATACTCGGTATTATGAGAAGAATTTTACTAGTTTAACATACTACACATAAAAGGAAACTTGAGATTCAAGAGAAATAACCTAGAATAAAAAAGAAATCAAAGTATAATACATGTAATCTCCTTTTCCTAAACTGTTAACTTTTCACATGACTTTCTGCTTCAAGAACGTTTTTAGCTGTTAGCAAAGGGTGAGTTTAACAGGAATATGATTTAAGTAAAAATGGGTGGAGTCAAATTTGAAATGAGATTTCTTAACCCATATTCAACAAGGGCAAAATAAGCAGATCAATACCAAACACATGTGCCTGCCCATCATTTAGTGACATTAATAACTGGTGTTATTTTTCCAGTGTAAAAATATTCACACTGGATAAAGCTACCCACACTGAGCAATTTGTCAAGCTCATAGATGCTCAATAAATACAGGGACCATTTACCTTTAAAGGACCAATAAAGCAACTAAACAGCCATTAAATTCTTGGACACAGTAATTTATCATTACCATACAAATACTCACAAAAGTAATGGTAAAACTCCTAATTAATGGAAACAAATAAAATGTTAGGACAATTAAATAATATAGCTAGTATTATTGGATAAACTAGTTCTACTGTACATAAAAGTACACATTTTCAACATAATGGCAACACATCAAAATGAGAAAGTCTCCACCTTTCTTAGCCCATGTCAAGTTCCTTCCAGGTAAAGCTACTGGTTACCAATGGGTACCTGCTAATTGTCCCAAAGGAAACTGTTCCTCAAGTGTGACTGTGAGAGTCTACTAACCTAATTATTACTGAAACGATCAGATTTTATTTTACCAATAAAGGTAAAAACAAAGTCATTCACTCTCAGAAAACCTCATACTTGAAAGGGACCTTAAAGGCCATCTCCAATGTGTATTTGTATTCTTAAAACAAAAAGCTGGTGATGTGAGTCTGGTTTACCTTTAGTCCTTGCCATGGCAGGCTGGTTCTATTAAAATACATCAAAACATATCCTAATGATTCCATGTCATCTCGGCGACTAGAAAAGAAAATGTAAATTTAAAGGCTGGAATTATTGTGAAGAACATGTGAAAGAAAGCCAGGTACACAAGAAAAAATGTTTCCAAGCAAGGAGAGAAAGTAATTTGGTATCTTGTGCAAGGAGTTACTCAGTTAAGGTAATTTTAAAAAAAAGTTCCTAATGGGTTACTTCTAAACAAAATTTCCTCACAGAATCCAAAATTATAAAATCCAACACGATCCTGCAACTTAACTTTTAAAGAGCAAAAAGAATTTAGCTAAATAACTTTATAAATGAGGTTAATAAAGATGGAAGAACCATCTAGCAGGACATAAGTTTTACAGAAGCTCACAAAGATTATTTAGGGATAACTCTGAAAAAATTAACAACTTTAAGCTAATTAAACATCTATATGAATATATACACAAACACATACACACTTACACACATATTCAGACAGATACATGTACTTAAGGACTGGTAATGGCCTACAGAAGATGTGAAACTATAGTTTAACCAAGGGTACTCAGATATTCATGGCTATTCCCTAAGCTTAAAAGCTCATTCTCATGAAGTTCCATAACCTGGAAGCATATCATTTCTACGCTTATTTATTTATATATTTTTTGTGGTACGCGGGCCTCTCACTCTTGTGGCCTCTCCCGTTGCAGAGCACAGGCTCTGGACGCGCAGGCTCAGCGGCCATGGCTCACAGGCCCAGCCGCTCCGCGGCATGTGGGATCTTCCCGGACTGGGGCACGAACCCGTGTCCCCTGCATCAGCAGGCGGATTCTCAACCACTGCGCCACCAGGGAAGCCCTCTACGCTTATTTTAAGGAGCAAAAAGAAAAATGATTGACAAAAGATGAAAAACTAGAATTCAAGTCAGAAAATAGAAAGACCACAGAAATTATGACAATGTTTAAACTAAATCCTATTCATTTATGTAGGGGTGGAAGAGTAGAACGGGGATGGTCCACCAACCACATTTTGGTTTATTAGAAATCAGATAACATTTTCCTTGTAGAAATAACCAATACATTCTTCCCCTAAACTCAACTTGCTTCACTAACATATAAAAAGCCCAAGATCAGTATTAAGAAAAAAAGTATTGTCTTTAGCTGCAAAAAGAAACATAAAGTTGCATTTATGCTTCTAATTTCCATCATGCAATATTTTCTCCTCAAAAGACAAGCTTCAACAAAGAAAACAAAAAGGCCTCATTTAATCGGCTTCTTTGCACTGTCCAAAGCAGCAGATAAAAGGATTAATAAGTGTCTTTCAAATCTTCAGCCAAGAAACATCTTTAGATATTGTAAGAAACTAATTAAAATATTTTTAAAACCCATCAATGGCTTTTGCTATGGATTTGATAAACACATTCAATTTTCAAACTCACCTCTGTTCAATACCAAGATGTGCATTGATGCTAGCATATCGAGCAGTGCCAGTGAGATTTTTATCTTCTCTGTATGGTATGTGTTGCCTTGTCCTGTTGTCTCTGTACTTTTTGGCCAAACCAAAATCAATAAGGAATAACTTTAAAAGAAAATAAAGAGACATTAGGTTTCCAATCTTGTTCAGTTAAACTGCTTCTTACTCATTAAATGGCATCTATTCTATTTTGTTCAATTATATCAAAATAAAGCATCATAAACAGAACAGATAATGAACAAACTTAACACTCCAATAAGCTTTTATTAGTCCTCATCAATAAATCAAGTTAAAAAAATACAGTTAAGTCAAGTGGTTGATCCCTGTCAGCTGAACAATTTCATAGGCCAGTTCATTACACATTCAGGAGCCTGTCTTTGGAACCTCTAACATAGTGGAGAAATGTATACATGCTCAATATCAGAGTTGCTGACAAGTGTGCTGCATGCCATAATGAAGCCTGACATCCTGTTACACTGGTAAACAAGCATGGGGTTTTAAAAAACTAGACATAAGCTATCTGGAACTCTTCCATTCTACAAAGGCCACTCTTTAGTATGCCAACAGAATGCTCATTATCTAAAATAAGACAACTCTGAAAGTTGTATATTGACAACAAAACCAAGATTTTTATTTATAATAAATAAGCATTTTAAAACAAGCATGCATTTCATTTTATTTCCAACTGACATTTACGCATGTGAGCAGCTTAAGCTTCTGGAAAATATAACAAGTTGATCTAAAGTCTTAAAAAGCACTTAAGTATTTATTTATTTAAATAAAGGTGGCTTACAATCAGCAGTTTAAATGAGCTAACCAGAAACCAAGTAGTATTTTAGAACAAAATAATGTTTAGTGCTGTTTCATTTAAATGGTACACAGGGCGTAAGATACTCATTTATAATGTAGCTAATTTTAAAAATTAATTCAGGTTTACTCTCCATGATTAAAACTTTTATACAAAGAAGAAAAAAAACAAAAGTATTTTGGGGGGAAAAACCCAAAATATGTTCATATTTACCTACCTTCTAAATCAAAATAATCTTAACTTAAAATTTTATTTAGTCTTTATCATAAAATCACTTATCAAAAGTTATGTCTACAAAGTTTATCAAGCAAAGCAGGTCTATGTGCTCTTATACTACGTAGCCCTACACTATTCTTTTCTAGTTTACACCTAAATTTTGCAGTTTTTCTTCCCATTAGGCTGACATTAGGTTCCTTCTGCTGCAGTTTACAGTCTGTGATATACTGGGAAACATGACCACCTAGACTGTTAGGGTTTGCGTCAAAAAATAACTAAAGCGGGCTTCCCTGGTGGTGCAGTGGTTGAGAGTCCGCCTGCCGATGCAGGGGACACGGGTTCGTGCCCCGGTCCGGGAAGATCCCACATGCCGCGGAGCGGCTAGGCCCGTGAGCCATGGCCGCTGGTCCTGCGCGTCCGGAGCCTGTTGCTCCGCAACGGGAAAGGCCACAACAGTGAGAGGCCCGCGTACCGCAAAAAAAAAACAAAACAAAAAACTAAAGCAAGTTACTGATTTAAGTGAAAAAGATATGACCAAGTGCTTCTTTTAGGAGGATGAAAAATGCCTATTTCAGGCAGGCACTACAACCTAGCCTTAGTTATACACTGGATGGGAAAGGCTGAGGTTTGAGCTTCTGTAACCATATTGACAATGAAACACTTATTTTCACCTGGTCTACTACAAAGAATGAAGATTAAATTTTCAGTAAAATGTAACTGGATAATGAAAGCTCTTTGTATGATTAAACTCACTTCTTGAACAACTGAATTATTATAAAATAGGGACAGGAAAGTTAATGTTATAAACCACTAAGAGAAATAAAGCTCATACTCTTTTAAGTTTCTTTCGATATGAAAATTGGCTCAGTACTCAAATATTAAAATGAGCAAAATATACTTATGTTAAGCAAAACAAAAATTATGACTTAAGTTCTACAGATTCACACTGAAAAGAAAACAAGGGAAAAACAAACCCAAAAGGACATCCAACTTCACGGCATTTAAAAACTCTCCCAAAGAATTATGTGGGGGCGTCCCTGGTGGCGCAGTGGTTGAGAGTCCGCCTGCCGATGCAGGGGACACGGGTTCGTGCCCCGGTCCGGGAAGATCCCACATGCCGCGGAGCGGCTGGGCCTGTGAGCCATGGCCGCTGAGCCTGCGCGTCCGGAGCCTGTGCTCCGCAACGGAGGAGGCCACAAGAGTGCGAGGCCCACGTACCGCAAAAAAAAAAAAAAAAAAAAAAAATTATGTGGGTTATGAATAAAAAGTGATTAGGCCATGAACTTTCTTCTAAGGATTATTTTCTAAGATTGCTTCCTTTAGTACTCCAAATGGAGGAGAAAACAGGAACAACTCTGACATGGTTATGTCTGATAGTTACATTCATGTCTAGATTCAACAGCTGCATTTGCAACTCAATAACCACTTTCTCACAACTACAAGACTGCTTTATAAAAACTCAGTGTTCACTAGAGTTCTTTCCTTCTACAATTCTAAAGGACAAAAACCTAACTTATTAAGAACAAAAATGGACAAACACTACCTTCTTAAGTATCTCAATCTTTAATATTAAAGCAAAAAATTTTTAAATTTTCTCCTATAAAAACTGAAAATGAGTCAGGAAAAGTAACGTCACTGATAAATAAAGGTATCCCATTTTAAGAGCAAACAACTGAAAACTACTTAAAATTTAAAAATTTTAAATCTCTTGATAGTTCATTACCTTCTGGTACCTATCATGCTTCTTTAGTCGCTCTCTATGCACTGAATTTAAAACGAGTAAAAACATATATAATGGGAAATATTTACATGAAACCATGTGATACCAAGGATACAACCCAACAGGCGCAGATATGTAAAGGTAAAACCAAAAAAGGAAAAGTCAGTATTCAACGTCATAAAATAATGTGTTTTTATAGGTCTGCATATGCAAAGAGACGTTTAAACTCTTCGGTTGTCAAGCTGCTTTTCTGTGGATTTTAACTACATGTTCTAAGTAAAATTTGTGGCTGTTTTAAAGAATGCAGCATATTTTTCAAAGGAATGTGGAAATGAGTTAATGTTGGGTACGCTGGGATAACTCCATTCAGCAGACGTGCCATTTTCTTCAGAAACGCTACTGCCAATTTTAGTTTTTGGTATTTACAACAGTTTTTCTCCTAACCAGCAGTCACATTTTCCTGCCCTTCAGGAAATTCACAAGATTACTTTTCCTTATAACCCAGAAAACCTATTATTAAATAATTATGTTATAAAATATAAGTAAAATGTGTGAATGTATATGGATAAGTAAAAATAGGGCAGTAAAGTTGCCTTACAATGTACCTAATTACCCACCATCCTCCCTCTCTGCCCAACCAAGACCTAGTTACCACAGTTGGTATTTCTTTGTGAATAAAAGTAAAATTGAATTCCTGAAACCGTTTTAACAGTGGGAGAACGTAGTTCCTGAAATAATGCTGGGCAGTATGGAAAAGGATTAAATGATTACCCAGGTGATACTTGTGGTTTAATAACGGAACTACAAAGTATGCTCACATATCAAATGCAACTTTTTTCCTTTTCTGATTACTTATGTCAATACTTACTTCTCAGTGTATACTAAATTGATAAAGATTCGTTCATTCAGGAGCTTCAAAGATTAAGTACCTAAATGGTGTGATTTTTTAAAATTATTTTCCCTTGTTTATCTGAAAATTCATACAGTAATAAAGCTATCTAACGTCTACAAAAGTAAATATGAAGAGTTCTGCTTACAGTTAAAAAATATTTGGAAAGTTACTGGAGTGTTTAGCCTGCTAAACACTAAATCATCAGGTTATGCATGTGTTTATCTTACATATGTGTTACTGATGGTAATTGATAAGTGCTTCAGTTATCGTTATGTTGTTAGAATACAGTATATTCTAGTTCCAGAGCATATAATGCTCTTTAAGCATTTTATGCCACTTGTTTGAAGCTGAGAGAATTCTCATATTGAGGTAATCAATTCTAGAAAAACTAGATCTGAGATCTGATCTACACTTACCTAAAGTACGCTAGGGGAAGGGGAAGAGTTGACGCAGAATATCATTCAGCAATAATGCAACTCCAAATTATTTTTAAAAATTGAACAGTCTATCTCAAGTTTACCATTAGGTAAAGAATTTCAATGGTAGATCAACATATTTCCTCATGTGGATGTTACAGATCTAAACATAATCCTGTTTTCATTTAGGTTTTCTCTAAATTTTACAAACTTTAAGCAAAAGCCACAAAGAAACATCTTAGTAATGTTATGTTTGCCAAGTATGTCTGAATAATGCCAACGTAAGAGGTGCTTGAGCAAGATCTACATTCTCCAGAATTAAAACAAAACAAAAATAATCAAAATAAAACAGTAAGAAAGAAAAGCACATGAATTTGGGATTGAGGTTGGAATAGGAGACAGTTTCAGACCTGGTTTAATCCTGAGAAAGATGGGTCCTGAGAAGAACTAACAGTCATGCTTCTTTTCCTCTTCCCCACTGGAGATTCTAAACACTAAACAGACAATAGAGGGTGGCAGTGCATCAAACAGTATTGCTTACATTGCAACAATGGCCGGCGCAGACAGGCAACACCGAGGCATTAGAGAAAGAACAGGGTAGCCAAATGCCATCCTTCTTCCACCAAGCACTGTAGCTTCTCAGTTTTCCAAATAAGAATCACATGCTTAAGAACATTTGAATTCTGGAAAATACTCAGGTTTTTAATGCCACTATATTGTGTCACTGCCTGAAACAGGGATAGCAATGGTGACATTTGGCTCTTTAATTTATTAATAAAAAAGGGGGGAATTTGGATCTGCAATCTTTGGTACCACAATCTGCCCTTCCCCTAAAAAAGATTGTACAGGGGAAAAAAATCTTCAGTAAGGAAGAGGTAGAAGGCATTTAGTCACCTTAAAATTTATTTTCATAAGCATGCAGGGCTGATTACTGGAAGAGATGAGCAAATTCACTATGATTGGAGTGACTACTCCTAAATATCAAATTCAGAACAATTTTCCAAATAAGAAATTTGACTTTAAAAATCAACCTCAAAAGCGCCCCCCACCCAACTCTTTACCCACAAATAGAAAACTACTGGAACAAGCTGACCGAAGAATCCAGTCTCATACAACTGGCATATTTCAAACTACAATACAGAAAACACTAAAAACCAACTACATAAACAAAACACTAATCTAAAATGTTCAAGAACAACATTTAGAATTTGAATCTTAGGTAGAACACTGCACTTCTAACCCTAGGGTCTCTCTGAATCTGTTTAACAGCAAAGCAGCTTCACAATATTCTTTTTAATATCTCTAAAAGAGGATACAAGATTCTAAAAAGGTTTACGTATCACTGGTCAATTTGGATTTCCTAACACAACTATGTGATTAATAAGCTATTTTAAAGGGGGGAAAAAAGCAAAGAGGTATTATCTAGGCCATCATTAAATTTAAGACAAAAACCATGTACTGCAATGTCAACATGCAGAACATGGATCACATGAGGATAATGGGTCTTTAGCAGGAAGAAAATGGGAAGACAAGGGCTGGGAAATGGTCAAAAGATTAGGGTCATACTGACAAAATTGCCCCCCAAAATTAAGACTAGTAATTTTTCAATTAAATTACCAGGTTTTATAGTAACAATTAAGAACCTGGATGCTTCAAAGAGAGAAGCCACATAACATTAAAAAAAAAAAAAGATGCAATTGGGAATGGCAAGAAAGGTTGTATGTAGATTTAAACACCTTCTATTATTTAAAGCTCAGCTTTCAACAAAAAAATTTAAATTCCTAAAACTTGGTCAGACCAACATTAATGTCTCACGCATTAACAAATAACACCAGTTCTAATGGTAATGGCTCCAAGTTGGCATTCATACAGGCAAACAAAGGTAAACATTTATAGCTAGACCTAAAAACACCAAACATTCCCTAATGGTTTAATAAAACAAATGGGAATGTTCCTTCCAAAAACAAAACAAAACAAAAAACACAAAAAACAAAAACCCCCCAAGTTGTCCTGAAGTTGAGAATTTCTATCAGATCATCAGATCATAACATGCTTAGTGCATTGCCAATGCTGCCTGTCTGCCCGAGCTCAACATTGAATTAATAAAAAAAAGCAATTCACTCAGTAAAACTAATCATTGCAGAAAAAATTCAACACAATTAGTTTTTAACTGCAATCATGCGTCACTAGCTAAAACCCAATCACCCCATAAATTCAATCATTCTGCAGCCCCCAATGAACACTAATTTCATTATATGTATGTTCATTTCACTTGTCTACACTTCCCTTTGAAAAGGAGAGGGGAAGAGGGGTGGAGACCCCACCCAACTTGGCACCCAAATAAGAAACTGTCAACTACTTTTGAAGCAGGCCCAAAAGTTATCCTTTTGAATACACAAATCCAAGGACTGAAGAATTCTCATTATCAACCATGCTTAGTCAGCAAATGTTAACGCCATGGTGACAGATGGGTCAGTGGTTCCCACGCTGGCACAAGCACATATATTAAAAAAACCCACACTTCAGAGACAAAGGTTAAAATCTGATTTTTAGCATTCAGGAAGAAAAGTACATGGGGTTTTTTGTTTGTTTTTTTGTTTGCTAGATATTCGAATGAATGAAAAATAGATACAACTGTTCAATAGTTAAATAATATAGATGATTACATTTCACTATAAGCCCTTGGAATTTTATATTTCCATATAAATAACTAACCTTGGTTGGGTAAGTTGGAGAGAATTTATTTCAAGTTATTAAGTTAATAGATTATCCTTCTAGTACAATCTTTTAAAGCAATTATCAATAGCAAATTCAACTTACTATGACTCTTAATTTAAAGACTGAAAGTTCACCAAAGCAATTCTTGAAGTTTTTTACTCTTTGTTCCTTCATGCAAAGAACATGTGACTAACCTTATTACAGTGACGCCCAATACCCATTAAGAAGTTATCTGGTTTAATGTCTCTGTGTATAAAATTCTTTGTATGCACATATTCAATTCTACTGATCATCTGGAAAAAAGGGGAGGAGGGGAGAAAATTAAGTGATTTGTATTAAGTGACAAAAGAAAACATTATTTCTCAATTACTTCAATATGCCAATTATTTTTCAAGATCACAGGTATACTTTATTAACTTTATTTAGAGTTCACAAAGACAGTGCTAGTCAAAATTAAAAAGAAAGGGCAACCAGGCACTGCATTTACCTCTAGACTGATGGATATATAAGCATAAACCAGAAGTGTTCTTTAGGCTTATTCTTTCACTATTAATGATTATAAACATGATAGTAGCAAAACATGACCTGATAGCAAAAAATGGTTTTATTTTTAAATTACAAAAGTAATAGATTTAGAATTGTTTCAGTTGTTGTAATAAATTATATAAAGTAAAAGCCAATCCTATGCCTCCTGACGTACCTATATAAATATAAAAACAGCCTGCTATTGCCCAGATCCATTTCCATGCTCTTATATACATACACACATAAACTCACTTGTGCTTGGGAGTAAGGGGTGTTGACCAACTGATATAGTAGCTATAAGTTGTTGTTATTGCTTTAAATTGAAATAGAAACGGTCCACTCACTTTATTCTTGTTCACTTGTTTTTAACTAATTATAACCCAAACATTCCTGCAAGTTGGTACCATACAATGTAAGCATGTAACTTTTTATACAAATGGGGACATACACACGCTGGGTTTCCTTTCTTGCATGCTTTTTGGACTCTCCCATGATTTTTCTCCATACTTGTATGATCATAGTCCAAAACTGAATAATATACATGCCATTCTAACAAGCTTTTCTTAATTTCTTGGAAATTCTGCCTCGTCAATTGGTATGGTCTTAGCATTCTTTTTAATGGCTATAAATATTCTATGGCACAGATGGAAGTACTCCCCAATTATCCCCTAACTCACAGTATTCCCATTATTTCCAATATTCTCCCACCATAAACAATAATGCTATTAATAATACTTAAATATATCCTTACCTACTAGTGCTTTTATTTCTATGGGTTATAAGTCCCATACTACTACAGCAGAGTTGCTGGGCTGAAAGGTATGTATTTTTTTCATTTTGATAGGTGCCATCAGACTGCCCTTCAAAATAGCTTATAACAACTCATTTTTTTCAGCAGTAGTGTTCTTTCTCCCGCTAGCAAAGTTATTTCAGTTCTTTCTAAATTTTGCCAATTTGACAGGTACTGACCTCGCTTATTTCCCTAACAGTTTGGAAACCTGCTTGTTTTTACTGACCTTTTGGATTTAGTACTATTCTATGAACTGTCAATCTATACTCATCCAGTATTCTTTTGGCTTGTCCTTTTCTTGCTAATTTTTAAGAATTCTTTGCATACAACAATCTTTTATCAGTCATTTGTTATGTAAATAGATTTAAATTTTGAAAAATTTGTCTTAACTCTGGCATCTCTTCTGTAATAGTTTTAATTTCCAAATTATCAACTATGTCTACCTTTTCTGTAAAATACTTACAAGTTGTATCTGAAAGTGTTTTCCATGTGCAAAGGCTGCCAACATTATCTTTCTACCCATATGTTCTTCCTCTTCTAGTAGTATATGTCAGGATTCTATTTTTTACTTGGCCTCATTTTCTCTAGAGCTTTTATCACCATGGATATACAGATTCTAAATCTTACTCCTCTACCTTGGCAAATGTCTTTTGAAGCCAAATTGTAATCTCTGGCTTAAACTATTCATACTCTCAAGGAAGTAGATGTATACAATGTTCAAATAGCATCTTTAGGTACAGCAGCAACTCATGTATTAAAGAAGTAAAACAAAACCGCTGGCTCACTTATGTACATATTTGTCCTAGCTAAGAAATACCCATAACTAAACTATGAGTATTAACTCACAGGGGAAATGTGGGGCAAAATACAAATTAATAGCACAAACTACAGACTACTTCAAGTGTTGCCTGTCATCTACGGGGCAAGACTCAGCTGTTTCCTTCTTAAACAAATGCTTTCCTGCAACCCCCTTTCCTAAATTACATTCTTTCTCTGATGTTACTAGTGTATCCAATATATAGACTTCTATGACAGAACCCTTCCATTTTTCTCCACTAAACTCTACGCTCCTAGAGGGAAGAGTCTAGTTCTTATTCTTCTTTGTACATCCCAGTGTTAAGTACAATGGCAGTCCCCGAATAAATGTTCACTGTATGAATGCCTATGTGTTACTGAGCCTACAGAATACAAACTCTTTTATTAAGATTCATTCACATGTCATATTAAGAGGTTTTAATCATAAATTCCTTGACATTTACCTATTATCTCTGACCATATTATCTGTTTCCTCAAGGCTTGTTCCTGACCCTATTATTCCCCATCTTAAAATTCTTTAAAACTAATTTTCTTTTTTATTTCCTTTAGTTCAAAAAAATCTAATCTTTGGCTTTAAAACAATTTCATCTAATCTCCAGCCAATGAATAAATCTAATTCATGACATAAAAATTTCCCTGGTTTTGCTTAACTATTACCAATGGCCGAGAATCCTTTACTTCAAGAGCATCTACCTGGTCAAAAATTATTCCTTAAATTACTTCAGTACCTTATTTTCCTCAAAAATACACCTTTCATAAGGATTCAACACATAATACATAGCATTCAATTTGCTTAATTTAAACAAAATTTCAATATATACATATTTATCTATATTTATATACAAACGAACACTCCAAATCCTTTCTTCAAACAAAATCTTATAAGGAAACCTGCTACATTCAACACTAAAACAAATACACTCTATCTGATGGGAGCAGCTTGAAAACTCCTAGTCTACAGGTGTAATAAACTAGTATAATCCGTTTTCGTCCTATACCCATGGGAAAACATCTACAAGTCATATTAGAGTAATACACTTGAATGACTATACCTTAATATGGATCTTTTTTTGCTGATCCAAACGTTAAACAGTGACACATGGGACTATAATTCTCTGGTTTACACACATTTAAATTATAGTTAAGTAGTGGTAAACAGTAGTATTTCTTAGTTTTTATTCTCATAAAAGTTTCACATACCTGGTCAGCTAACATAAGTACAGTTTTCATTGTGAACCTTCTTGAACAGAAATTGAAGAGGTCTTCGAGGCTGGGTCCAAGAAGATCCATGACTAGCACATTGTAGTCTTTTTCCTGACCATACCACCTAATAAAATGAAAGGGGGAAAAGGGAGGGCATTATAAAAAGCTGATTATCACTTAACATCACCAAATTTTAAAAAATTTGAATAAGATAGTTTTTCCTCTCTGGTTAGGTTTTATTTAGGGTTAAGTTTTCCACTATTCAGTTGATGAACTCACTGACTGACTACATTGCCCAACACAAGGTAAAGAGATTTCTTCCTGTCAAGCAACCCATTGTCCAATTAAGTCAGTACTTGTGTGGCAGCCTTAACATTCCTCTTAACCAGGGCAGCTGAATTCTATATCCATCCACCACTGATTCCTGAGACGATGGGCAAGTTTCTTAACCTCACCTGGTCTTACTTTTTAACTGAAGAAATGAAGGAGATTCTACTAGTCATTCCAAAACGTTTCAGAAAGCAAAGATCCCTTTTACTATAACTCATGTTCCATTTCCTACCAGGTTGTATTAATAAGGAGTCACATTTTTGCTTAGTTCCCGATCACAGAAAACAACCATATTACCACAAAGATGACATTTGCTTTTTACTGGAAGAATCATGCTTTAATTATCCGTTGCTATATTACTGTGGATATACAATTTGCCCCCAATAACTCTAGGAATATCAACTGCTAAATTCAGAGACTACAAGAACTGGAAATCACTGCAATAAATGATTTCAAGTTTCTATGTGCCTTTAAGTCTGGTAAGGGTAATTTCCTGAAAATAAGCACTACCGTTTTTATTTCAAACTTATCTAGATTATGAATTTTGCTCGAGGGACATCCCTGGCGGTCCAGTGGTTGGTTGGGGCTCCGTGCTTCCACTGCAGGGGGCACGGGTTCGATTGCTGGTCAGGGAACTAAGATCTTTTATGCCATGTGGCACAGCCCAAAAAAAGAAAAAAAAAGGCATTTTGCCATTATTTAAAATGTTAAAAAAAAAACAAAACGAGGAAGTTATTTTAAAGCTAGACTGGAGTGATTTCTTTGTTAACTCTAATAAGAAATGATACCTGGATTTACCATTTGAGAAGTTTATGTGTTTTAAAAATATTCAAAACAGGGAAAAAAGGCTTAAAAAAATCTGTGTCAAAGGCATTAATGAGTATCAGTTTAGTGGAAAACTGTTCAGTGTTTTTGGTTTGCTTTATAATTTTATTTATTTATTTATTTTTGGCTGCGTTGGGTCTTCATTGCTGCACGTGGGCTTTCTCTAGTTGCAGCGAGCCGGGGTGGGGGGGGGCTACACTTCGTTGTGCGCGGGCTTCTCGTGGTGGTTGATCTTGTGGAGCACGGGCTCTAGGCACACGGGCTTCAGTAGTTGAGGCTCGCGGGCTCTAGAGCACAGGCTCAGCAGTGTGGCACATGGGCTTAGTTGCTCCGCAGCGTGTGGGATTTTCCTGGAGCAGGGATCGAACCCATGTCGCCTTCATTGGCAGACGGATTCTTAACCACTGCGCCACCAAGGAAGTCCCCTGTTTAGTGTTTTTAGTGTTATTTCTTTTTTAAAATTTTGCTCTAATATGTTATTCTGTTATAAAAGAAAATTAAGACTGAAACTAGAGAATGGGGATTTAGTATCTTAATAACTATATTCTTCTAGAAAATGCAAAACCAGCTACTTAAGCATGGTCTCATATTCAGATCCAATGAATACGCTCCCTAGAATCTTATGTAAAAGATCGTAAGGTGACTAGGCTTAAAAAGCTCACATTCCTTCCTACGCTTTTGCTTCAGCTGTTCCCAAGGACTACTACTTCGCAAACATGATACACGAATAACTACCATCGAACACACAAAGGAATTCATTTTCACATGTCTTTGCAGAAAAAGGTAGCCTGATGGGGAAAGTTTCTGCTTAACCTTACAGAGATTGTGCTCACTAGCCTAAGAAATGCAACAGATGTACCAATCTGCTAATGGCAGAGTTGATCTGCCCTTATTGTACCTAAAACTATGTTCAAAGCTGCTGCAATTATCCCTTTTCAATCCTTTATTTTCCATATAGGAATTCAACACCCTTCACATACATTCCAACATTTACAACACTTTAAAGAAAAGCTCACAGTGGTGGGTTTAAGAATCTTCCTTCCAATGCAGGGGACACGGGTTTGATCCCTGGTTGGAGAACTAAGATCCCACACGCCACGGGGCAACTAAGCCTGCTTGCCACAACTATTGAGCCCGTGTGCCACAACTACAGAGCCCTTGCACCACAAATAGAGAGAAAGAAGCCCGTGAGCAGAAATGAAGAGTCCACTCACCACGATGAAAGATCCCACGTGCCACAAGTAAGACCCGACACAGCCAAATAAATATTTGTTTTTTTAAAAAAGATAAGTGACGAACAAAGTGAATAGCTTATGTTCTCCTTTCCTGATTCCTGTTTTGTTTTCCTTCTTTTTTTTCTTCTTTCTTTACTTAACGGCAGAGGCAAATCTGTGCTAGGAAGCTGTCAGAAACTTCAAAACCAGTCCTTGCCATTATAAACATCCAATACTAAGAACATGGCAGATTTTTAATATAAAAACCTAATTTATTGGGCTTCCCTCGTGGCGCAGTGGTTGAGAGTCCGCCTGCCGATGCAGGGGACACGGGTTCGTGCCCCAGTCCGGGAAGATCCCACATGCCGCAGAGTAGCTGGGCCTGTGAGCCATGGCCGCTGAGCCTGCACGTCCGGAGCCTGTGCTCCGCAATGGGAGAGGCCACAACAGTGAGAGGCCCACGTACCGCAAAAAAACACAAAAAAACCTAATTTATCTAGGTTTTAAAGAAAAATAAATGACTCTATAAAAAAACACCAAATCCAGAAAGAGCTAAGGCAGTGATGGGAAGTCACTAAAAATCAAAGGCAAAAGAGAAAGCACAAATCAACTCTCATAAGACTACATCTCATGTCTACATCAACAAATTTGTACCAATGGCTCCCTAACAAAATTACAATAAAGTGAATTTTACAACCATCCAATCCAAACTACAAACTTGAAATGCCAAAGGCACAAATTCATACTTCACATCTTCATGCAATCACACAATTTCATAAAGCACTTTGTGGGAAGTCATATGTAAAGTAAGTCTTTAACAGAATACTCTCATAATAATTAGAAACAAGGGGGCATTAGATGAATTCAGAAACACACTTTTAAAAAAACCAAACAGGACTTCCCTGGTGGCGCAGTGGTTAAGAATCCACCTGTCAGTGCAGGGGACATGGGTTCGAGCCCTGGTCCGGGAGGATCCCACATGCCGCGGAGCAACTAAGCCCGTGCGCCACAACTACTGAGTCTGCGCTCTAGAGCCCGCAAGCCACAACTACTGAGTTCCCATGTCACAACTACTGAAGCCCGCGCGCCTAGAGCCTGTGCTCCGCAACAAGAGAAGCCACGACAATGAGAAGCCCATGCACCACAAGGAAGAGTAGCCCCCGCTTACAGCAACTAGAGAAAGCCCGCGTGCAGCAACGAAGACCCAACACAGCCAAAAATAAATAAATAAATTAAAAAAAAAAACCAAACAAGTTATTAGGCATTTTTCTCCATATTGCTTAAGTGTATGAGTTTAAGACACAGCCCCTATTCTCAATATCAAGAAGACAATCCATAAAAAAACAACTAAAACATAAATGATTCAAAGGCATTTTCCTCCATGGTGCAACTACGGCACTTCTAAAATAATTAGGTCTTTCCGCTTAGAAATTGGTATTATAACTCTTTAAACCTAAGTGACAGGTGTTTCTTTCATTCCTCCTTTTGATCTCAAGGAATATATAACTTATTTCTCTAAATCTAACATCTCACACCCTCCCCATCTGTGCTTTCCACCTGTGTAACCCATCCCGACATTATTACACACAGATTAGGAGCCAGGAACAGCCTTCTGCTTATCCAAATCCTACTTACTCAGTTTCTACCTTCACCTCCACGTTTTCCACTTTTATTCTGCAAGCTGCTAACTCTCCATTTTCAATTGCAACATCCTAATACCCAGGTGCCAAAGAAATCTTCCTTAAGTAGCCTATCCCACATTGGTCTCCCGTTTCACAGAATTCCTATAGCCACTGACTACTGCCTATATCCAAGATTTAACCCCTTGACAATACAAATCTTCAGGTACTGTTACTTTGGCGTTTCTCTCTCTACACCTGTAAGATAAAACCTACTGTTTGTCTTATGTCTTCATAGAACCTGGGTAACGAGCAAGCACTAAGCTGATTCTCTGAGATCATTTAAGTTTGCAGACAATCTGAAACCCACAAACATGAAAACCTCACTCCTATTCTCCGCTTTCTAGGTGCCTTCAACCAGAAACTCAGGTCTTATCTTTAGACATTATTCAACATAAGCAGCAATGTGTTGCTACTAAGTACACTATGGTAAAGTAATGTGCACACTGTAGGTAACTCAGATACTTATGAGATTAAAAACAAACTGGTTTGATTTGGACCTTATTCTTCCTAATAGTTTCAAAAGATGCAGAAGAATCAAGTAATTTAATGGATGAAAGCTAAAAAAAAGGGGAGGGGGCAAGGTCTCATTTACTATTTGTTTGTTTCAAATCAACGTCTTTAGACTTAGTGTTGCCTGACCAATCAAGGAAGTAGGCCAAGGAATGAGCTCGCAACTTAGAAAACCATCATTTCTTACTGAGAGCATAAAAAAGGTACCTTAAGGTCTGAAGAAGATGCTAAGAGAAGGCAAGGTCCATCTCTCTGATCTTATTTCCTTCCTCTAAACCCATATCCAAACTAATTCTAGTTAAAAAATTAAGAAACAGATAAAAAGCACAAGCCTAAGATAATACATGCACAAGTCAATAGGGCTGACCAAAAAATGCTAACAGAATTCAGAAAAAGCAAACGATCAGTGGGAACTACATCTGTCCAAAGAAACCTAGTGAAAATGGTCTGTTACTAGTCAGATCCTGAAGGAGGGATAATATTTTGATAGATAAGGTAGAAAAAGATGTGCTAAGGGCTTCCCTGGTGGCGCAGTGGTTGGGAATCCACCTGCCAATGCAGGG